TACGAATTTAAAACAAGCAATAAAGGTTAATAAAGCAGGATTTAATGAATTCAGCTGAATACTCTACATACACGGATATATATACTCTTGAAATTACATTGGGAGATATAGGACTGATAAGTAGACAAACTACATTGAATTAGTCATGCAGAAAGAGAGGTGTGAATGTTTTTCCAGGTCATGTTCAAATAGATAAGGGAAGAGGGAGTATGAGAGATCAAATTTAAGATAAATTGCATTACGCTTCAATTACATCACTTAGATAAACAATTAGACATTAGAGAATTTAACAAGAATTGCAAACAGAGTGATGACAATAGTAATAGTTATAATAACAATAATAATAATAGTGTTGAAGTGAGTTTAGATAATCCTACTGATAAAGGATAATTTTAAATGAATCAATAATAATAATAATAATAATAATAATAGGTAGAATTATAAGTGAAACGTATTACCATGGTAGATTCAGAGTCACGACCATCTCCTGAAAACATTCTATAAGGAGAAGTGCATCATTCTAGGTTGTAGGTCTAATCTGTGATTTTGAGACATTTTTTGACGAAACAGACCTTAGTCACTCACTTAATCTCATTTGGACAGTAGAATTACTTTTGTATATATGTAACAGCAGAAGACGAGACACGGAAGACAAGGTATATCTTCAATTGATCAAACCTCTCTCTCTCTCTCTCTCTCTCTCTCTCTCTCTCTATATATATATATATATATATATATATATATATATAGTTTATATTCTTTAACCAATCACTGAGCATGTGATTTCGGCGTACATTAAACATGAAATAGAATGCTCAAATACATATATAGTATTCTGTTGCTAATGCAGTATTGAATTGTGGAAATATATGAGAATCATATTCCTTTGTAACACATTGTCCGTATCATACCACCACAAATATCTTTTCGCATATTTGACATTTGATCAGTTATCTTCCGTGATCGTTCAGTGACAGTTATATTTGAACAAAGCAAGAACAACAATCGTACCAGGATAATATGAGCTCATCTTTTATTATTTAGAGGATTCTTCTCAACTGGTTACAGCCTGAACGATAAAAAAAATGAATTACATTACATTAAAGATTTGAACATACTTTTCCACGATCACAAGTAGTGATCGGTAGGAAGTAAAAGTAACATTAGTCCAGAATGATTTAACTAATTAAAAGTTACAAACACTGACTATTTATAGAATAATTAGACAATTAGGCTTGGAAACAAAAAACAGAGTTATGTTTAGATGAGAGAGTAGAGTTTTCTAAACAAGAAAAAGGGTGACTCATAAAAGTTGTATATTTTTTGTTATCACCAGGGCAGTGTAAGATTCACCACTGTCTCTTTCTGCGTACATAGATTTGGTTTAAGTCGTTTGATAGTAATTGCTTCAGCAAAGCGTAGCAAGTTAGGTTTTTTTTGCTTGTTGATTATTTTGAACGACTTCAGGTTGTCTACAATATGACAATATATGTGTAGTGAACTTTGAAAGAATCAAAATAACTGATCAAAATTCGGTTTAGTAGTAAAGTGATAACTTTAAAAGCTACCTTAACTTGTGCTCACAAATTGACTCACTGTCAAAATCTATAAAATGGGTCTAAATAACCAACTTAATAATAGTTATACCGTCTTGTGTTCATTAGTTTCTATGTTTTCCATTTTATCTCTACAGAGACCCTTTTCTTAAAGTTCTAACCTGCTATGAGTGTAGATATAACTATTCACTTAGTTTCCTTCCAGATCACATTAGTTATTGATATACATAAAATATTTACAAAATAACTACGGATTCTTTTTACTGACCAGCTGAAATAAAAGTAGACTGTTACTGGATAACTATTCCATATATTAGGTAGACACCGAAGTTTAAAAAGAAATTGAGAGCTACTTTTAAATCGGAAATACATCATTTTCTACATTTAAAATTACATTTTTTCCTAATATTTTTAGAAGTATTAAATTATTGGTGTATGGGGGTGACTAGCAGTGGAATCCAGGAGGCGAATCTCGTTCTATTTGGGGCTCATCAATCGTATGTGACTGTATTCCCAAGTGAGTGCTTCGGACTAATCAATTGAAGGGAAAAGCTAAAATTGAATTAAATCATTATTAAGACCCACTAAAAAAGAGGTGGTTCTTGTGGCCCAAGTCGTCTAGTGGATAGCGCTTTGGCGTTTGAAAATATGAGCACTGAGTTCGAGCCTCGGTGGGAACACCACATGCACTCACTGGGGAATGCAGGTTCATCCAGTTGACAATTCCCAGATAAGATGAAATGTGCATCCTGGATTCCCCTGCCAGTCACCATCCACCAACTGACTTCAAGTTACATGACCAGATATCATCGAGGCATCTGCACTAGGAGCTGACATGTCAACCTGAGCCCGAGCACTTCGGTTCAATCTATCGACGGGAAAATCTAAAATTGAATTAAATAAGTACCAAATTGTCTTTTTAATAATGAATACTTTTACATAACTTTAGATAATTTTGTAGTCAGCATGTTTCTTTTTTGTAAAGATCAGAATGACACAGTGAAATCAAAACAAGAGATAATCGTCCAGTTAAATCCAAGAAAAAATTAGTTGTTTACAGAGGAGCTCTCAGTAAAAATCACTAGTGAAAATTATTGCGGGTAGGGGTTGTCTCCAGTTTCATCCCAGGCTGTGACTCTTCAGTAACTTGCCTTTTCGTAAAAATGCCCAGTCACTTCTAATATTCACTCACTCTGAAACTGATTCTGAGTAATAAATTTTACTCTAGTCGTCATCCAGTAAACATTACTGCATAACTACGTATCATATGAAATGGGCCAGTTCCATTCATAATAAAAATTGTTTTCAAAACATGAAGCATATTTACACACGTGACCTTTCATTCAAAAATTTTTTAAATACACTGGAACAGATTTTCTTGGTATTATTATGTTTGTTCACTTATTTAAGTGTTTTACTCAACTCAGTCCAATGGAATATGTCCTTCTTTTACCAGTCTATGAGCCACACCTATTGAGTACGATCTTCCGATCACTGACAAACTGTCTGAATGCCTAGTGGCTAAGCTAACAAGCCGCGTCTCCACTCACATCTAATTGGTCTTAAGTAATGACTTTACTTTTAGGTGTTTGATGATGCAACTTTGGAGAATTATTCCTTTGACATTAAATGTATAAGTAAGTGCTTCATAGCATTGAAAACTATTTATGTAATCAAATAGAAGGATCGATTTACTTGGCGGTAATAGCGCACATTTTCTCAGTGTTTTGCTAAATGATATTTTGTTGTACTTTGTTTTCTTTCAGCTAGAATCTCAAATGTAAATGTTCTCTTTTTTCAATGAATTTAATGCTCAGCTGAATAGTCATGTGATCATTTGTGTATGATGTTAGTTAATTCTCTCTCTCCGTTTAAAATGGTACTTCTGTTCAATCATTGAATCTTTTGTGGTTATTTCAATATGATCAGATCTTTATGTCAGAAATTCTGTTCTACTGCAATGCCAAAATAGATTTTTCATTTGACGTATCCTTCCCCTGGACAATGTTGCTTAAAACAAATATGTCTTATTTTCAATAGAAACTAGAATTTTGGTAGCTTTAAGTATTTTTTACTGTAGAGAAATGAGATA